ACTATGTCCAAATTTGAGGGACCAAAATTTGTATTAACTCTTATTTAATTAGTCATATGATCAAAGCAGTTTTGTCAGGTTAATTTTTTTTTATTTTGTGGGGGAAAAAAAAGAAAAGCTCGCTGTCTATTGGTATATAGTGAACAAATACCTATTGTTTTGAGAGGTGACATGTCTATGAGTATAATAAACGGGAAAATAACAGAGGTTTTTGCTCTTTTAAGTGATGAGTCTGCATATTTTAACCTTTATATAAAATTGATTGCTCTTCTTTATGTCTGCTCTTTTTCAAGAGGAGAGTTAGTCCTCCCCCACCACCAATATTTATCAGAAAAAATCGCAAAAAAATCATAAAAATTGCGAAATGGTAAATAAGATATTTTGTTAAAAATGTGTTGCCATTCACGATCTAATTATTATTAAAACCTATGCAAGTGTTATAACGGGTCCTAATTTATAACTTTGCAATTTTTACAGTCTTTTATTATGATTTTTCCAGATTATCATTAACTCTGTGTTTGGTTTAATGGATGAGAGATTATGTGCTTTGTCTGGTTGTGGGGGAGGATGAAATGAGGGGAGCTTTCTTGCCTAGTTCAAGAAAAAAATAAAAAAAAGAAGGGAAGCTAACCAGAAGTTGACAAATACTACATGCGGTCCTTAATATAAGACTTTATTTGACTTTTATTTTAGTCTTAAATATAAGATCCTAATCTACTTTATCTCTCATATTTATATATTTTTTTAAGATAGTCCTCCTAATAATAGTAGTTATAACCAATACACTTAATTAGTAAGGATATTTTAGAAAAGACAACGTATATTTATTACAAATAACTAACTTAACTTCTTTCCTCAATCTTCTCAAATTAGTCAACTAGTCTTATAATTAGGATAGGAGATAGTGTGTGTATATATATATATACTCCTCCGGTCCTAATTATAAGACCCAATTGACTTATTTGAGGAGATTAAGGAAGTAAGTTAAGTTGGTTATTTATAATAAATAAGTGTTGTCGTTCCTAAAATATTCTTGCTAATTAAGTATATTGGCTAAAACTATCATTATTAGAAGGATTATCTTAAAAAAATGCATAAATATAAGAGATAAAATAGATTGGGGTCTTATAATTAGGACCAAATAAAAAATCAAATGGGGTTTTATAATAAGGACCGGAGGAGTATTTTAATACAAGTTTTACTTTCCCTCCCGCTTTGGTTTTCATTTACCCAATTCCCCCTTTAGCTCGATGAAAATGCTTTTCCTAAGGATTCTCTTAAATAGAAATAGAGAACGAAGTAACTAGAAAAAAAAAGATTGTTAGAATCCGCCTCTTCTAGATTCTGGTATTGTATCAATAAGTGGGGCCAGTCTCTAGCTTAGCACTTCAGTCCGTCAATGCTCAATTTGGCCCTTTCAACTGTAAGTGCATGAGATAAAGTGTAAGGATATCGACGAGTCATAAAGTTATCCTTGAAAAAAATTGAAGAGACAAAAAAAGTGACAAACATTTTGTTTTTTTGAAAAAGATAAAAAGTTAAAAAAAAAGGCACATTACTGTGTTGATGGCATGAGAGGATGAATGCATAATTCCATTTCATTAAAAAACATCAGACGCAGGAGAAACGAAAAGGTTTAATTGTCATAGGCAAAATTGAGACGTTAGAATAGGGCATGACTAAACTGGTCAATGGGTGAATACGTGGTTTTTTTTTTCCTTATCGCAAAAAACTCACTTCTGGAGGAGAAGGCAGGGAGGAGAGAAGGGAGCATGAACACAAAATTTTATATTCTCTCTAGTCCCTGCTCCTTGTTACAAGATCCTACTACTTTGATCTTCAATACTGCCTCGAGTACTAATTATAAGAGTTGGTTGACTAATTTGAAGAGATTAAGAAAAAAAGTTAAGTTAGTTATTTGTAATAAATAAGCGTTGTCTTTCCTAAAATATCCTTGCTAATCAAGTGTATTAGCTAGAACTACTATTGTTAAAAGGATTACATTAAGGAAAAATATATAAATATAAGAGACAAAGTGAATTGGGATTTTATATTTAGGACCAAAATAAAAATAAAATAAAGTCTTATATTAAAGACTGGAGGAAGTATATGTTACTTATAACATATTCTCGTATATGAACAAATATATTAAATTAACAAAATTTTTAATTTTATTCTTATTAAGGTTTTCTTTTCTTTCTTTCTTTTTTCAAAGTCTTATTAAAGTTTTCTCTCTCTGTATATTTATAAATTATTCTTATATCTCTTTCTTTTTTTTTCTTTTTTATGAGAATTCAATAAAAGTAAAATTAAAAAACAAGCATTAAATATACTTTAAATGATTGATATTTAGAATCAAAACTTTTTCTTTACAAGTGACTTACTTTTAGAAGAAACTTTTGATTCAATAAAGATAATATAAAAATAAAAATTAATATAATATTAAAATTTAGTAGGGACAGGCCGGAAAAATCTAGAAGTATCCGATGCTTCTTAATCAGGGGGCTAGCTGATTTAGCTTTTTTGGTAATTGGAGAAATTAGAAATGACACCGCGTGGAGCCTAATAATGTTTCAATCTACATTAATTAATTAATCCTCCATAACATAAAACAAACTATCAGGCAATAAAAGCATCGATATTTCGGTGTAAAAGAAATTGAAAGAAGGAAAAGGGTGAAATTTTTTTAATGAGCTCGTTCAATCGTTTCAAAAAATTAAAAAATTCGGATTAAAATTTTCTAATTAAATTTTATTTTTTGATCTTATATTTTTTTAACAAATTTATATAACCCTACTTTTTTAATTTTTTAAAATGAGTTTATTAAAATTTTTTTCTTTTTTTCCCGTCATTTTCCTCGTACCAAATAAACAGACCCCAAATGTGTCCTTATTCGATATGTACAAATACCTCATGACACGTATCATGTATTATTCTATCCCTTGCATTGTAATTTTTGTTTGACAAAGATTATTATAAATATATTTATATTACTTATTTAAAGCTCGAGATACCTACACCCAGTCCTTAAAATATTAAAACATATACTACCTCCACTTCTTAGCAGAGAAGTTAGTTGGGATTGAGTTTAATTTTAAATATAAGATTTTAATTAATTTTTTGACAAAAAAAAATTAATTTTGTCTCTACACTCATGTTCTTTTTTATTTCAAACTATTCCTATTGATTATACATATTAATAAAATTTGTATTAAAATATAGTTTTAATGCAAATGATTTAAGATAGTGGCATTTTAGATAAAATATTAATATATATATTTTTTATGAACAACTAACTTAATCATTTTTTTTATTTTTTCTAAATTGATTAAGTAGATTTTATATAAGCGTAAAGTGAGGTGGTGACACACATTTCCATACGTGTATGTTAAAATTTTGAAAATTGTGCTATTTGATGCATCATCATGATGGATCATATCCGATACGTGTCGGTATTTCTTGAAGGTGGGTGCAGGTCGGATTCCATTTCCTTCTGAAAAGGCCAAAGGTCCTCATGATAATAGCAGTAATAAAGGAATTAAGTTGGGATATTTCATTTGCATAAGTTTGGCAACTTCAACACGCCATGTGAGATTCCACTTCCTTATCAAAACTAAATATTATATTCAATTTTAATGATAATATATTATTTGTAAACTATGATGATATTTTATAATTAAGACCAGAGATGGTACATATTTTCAGATATTTTCTTGTCAAAATTTGCCTACACTTTCTTTTTTTTTTTAAATAAAAAGACAAAATGCATTAAGGAAAAACCAAACAGTTAAGCGTTCATAAAATTAACCATAATAAACTGGGACAGTTGTTTGCTAAAATATCACATTTAGTGCTACTAGCTAGCTACAATAATTACATTTTTGAAAGTAAAAAGACTAAGAAGGTAGTAAATGTCTTTGCCCACAACACATGTCCACCTTTTAATGTTGGCTTCCACTGGAGGAACAAGCTGCTTCTTAATGCAGATACACCTGAAGGAGACTTGGTACCCTCTTCGTAAAATTACCATTATTGCAATTTCCTTTTTTTTTTCCAAACAAATTTTCTGAATCCCACCATGTGGAGCAGAACCCTCTTCAAATATTCCTTTACTTTCATATATATATATATATATATATATAATAACAGTCCAACCTCCTCTTCTTCTGCTAAAATCACAGTGATTAATTGGAGGATTTGATCGATAGTAATTAAAAACTTACCTTTGCTTTCTAAGCCTCGAGCTGAATTGAGAGCCATTGTGTTGAAGGCCTAACTTGTATTATAAGCATTTTAGGAGAGACAGATGGTTTTTGAAGAATGAACCAGATTATTCCATATCATGAATGTTCGATCAGGAGAATGATAATGCGGTGATCTAGGTAAGGGACAAGATATATACTACCTCCTGTCTTTAATATAAGACCCTATTTGATTTTTATTTTGATCATAAATATAAGATCCCAATCAATTTTGTCTCTCATATTTACTCAATTTTTTTCAAAATAATCCTTCTAATAATTATAGTTCTAACCAATATACTTGATTAATAAGGATATTTTAAGAAAAATAACACCTATTTATTTAGGACAAATAACTACTCAACTTACTTCCTTAATCTCCTCAAATTAGTCAACTGGCTTTTATAATTAAGACCAGAGGTAGTGTGTGTATATATATATATTGTGGAGATATGCTCTAAGGATTCTGGATTTTGACAAACCAAAAGGCCGGAATGGAGGGAGGGGGAGAGAGAGACATTTCGATGATGTTTGACCAGAACATCACTCCAGGGTATAGCTTCGCTGTGCAATTTCCAGACAGTATAGGTATTTCTTTGGCAGGTTTATGATGAGCAGCATTGCATATTCAATCCACAAAATAAAGACAAAAATATACTCAGAAAAATCTTTTCCAACACCTTGTGTTTGCCATTCTTTTCACTTCCGATGTGTATAAAATACCCAAAATTTCATAAAAATTTAGATAGTCAAAAATAGTACTCGTGATGCTGTTATATCCAATATTCCGATTAAGATTTGGGATAAACGACTCTTTATGTCTTCTCTCATTGAATTACATAAATATGCAAACGAACCCTAATTTATTGGATCGTTACAATGTGCAAGAGAACTAGCTAGTGATTAATTACTAATTAGTGAACACACATGCGTCAGCACATCATTGATCTGTGGTAGCCATTAAATTAATCATTGGATCTCAGGCTGATGAGTCGCGAGGCTTGCAAACGGGCAGGTCATCTTCAAAAGTTGGTGGCATTCTGAAAATAGGGTTCCTCTCGAAGAAATTCACAGGCTTCAGATCGAAGCTTGACGACACAGTTGGCATTATTGGATAATCTTCTTGACATGGTATGTGATGGAACCCTATTGTGTACCACACCACTATGTCCTTATTCTCTATCTCTCTATCCCTGCAGCCACATATTAAACCCTTCCGTTAAGGTCTTATCTTACTTTGTTAAGCTGAGATGTCATTTGGTACAAAATATTGAAAATGAGGAATAGGAATTGATATTAAGATTGAAAAAATAGTGTTTAGCATGAGAAATTACTTGTTATATAGAATTAGACAAACTTATATACGTGGGATTGAAGAATATTATGAGATAAAGTAATATTCTCTAATGCTATTTTCATGGACTTGACTAATCTCATGTAACAAATAATTACTTATGTTAAAGATTTTTTTAACAATTTTTTAAATTGTAATCTTAATTTTTATTCTTTATTTTTAATATTTCGTACTAAATGGGACCTAACAGTTAAAAGGTTAAGGCAAAGAGGCGTCCACATTCAGTGCTCATCACCTGATGAGCAATCTCGACTGTCCAGATCTAATCTGCACAGTCCAGATTTAATATTTTTAAATAATTATTTAAAAATAAAAAAATTATATTTTTAAAGAATGATAGTTAAGATATTATCTTCATTTTTTATCCTATACCTATTAAAATGATTATTTTAAAAAATAAAAATAAAAATAAAATTAAATCTAGATCGTCTAGATTTGATGAGTATTAGATGCTCATCAGTGAGCACCCAATGCAAATCAGGGAGAAGACTGACCTGTTGGCCCAGACTTGGAGAGTGTCATCGCCTTGGCTCTGATAAACAAACAACCCACCAGCCCACTGCTCAGTCTCGTTATAAGGAGTCACCCATATCTGATTATTCGTGAACGCCGCTCTCTTCTGCGGCGGATCCTCCGGGTCCAGCAAAGTCGCCGCCGTCCCTCCAGGAACCACCTTGTAACCCACCGGGTTCCCCACCTTGGTCTTCTTGTTAGGGTTTATCACGTGGAACTCAGATGGGTCATACAGCTTGAGTCTTATCTCTGCGTCTTTCTCCGTCTTGGCCACTTTCCTCACCGCTTTCAGGTAGCTTCTTCTCGGGGAGTCTTCTTCCGGCGACGTCTGGTGCCTCTTTAAGTTGACTTTGACGAAGGAGTTGGGCTCGCCGTCGATGTCCATGTCGAGGCGGTAGGTTATGTAGTGGTCGTGGATTACTCCGATGAGGTTGTCGGCGAGGAGGGTGCCGTAGAGATACTCTTGGGGTGGAATCTGGTTGGTGTGATCGTACGGTGTTCCTTTCACCATCAGGATTCCACTCAGTCCTACCTGCTCAATCGTTGATTGGTTTTCATATGTCACTTCCTTCCCTCATATTTTCTAAGTCTTTGGAAATTACTCATCACGCCCATTGATTCACACAAGACAATATTTGTCTCTTTGAAAAAATTTACCATAAAGTAAATTTTCTAACTAGAAATTTTATCCACCAATTTCCCCGGGAAACCATAATATTTTTGTATAAATAATAATATGACATTGTTTTAGATTGATTTATTATGAATACCATGAAAACTAGAATACAAACAATAAACAAGTGATAGGTAGATAGTTGAAAAGTGGTGGAAACGGCACAAACCTTGGGTCTGATTAGTCCATCAGTTTGAAATTCCCAATCCATTATATAGTCATAGTTGGCCACTGCGGCTGCCATCCTCACCACTAGCGTCACCTTCGGTCTCGCCTCCGTTATCTACGCACAGAAATCATAATACTCACCGAATCTTAACCATTCAAATTTAACATAGAGAATTAAAATTTAATATTTAATATTTTTTTAAAAAATATTTTTTCAATAAATACCTAATGAAAAATAAATGTGATATCTCAACAGTAAGCTTTTTTAAAAATTACTAGTTGAAAATTTTAAAAAATTTTAAATCCGAATCATTAAGGTTTATATTTTATCATAATAATGAGTATTATGGTACTAATCACTGTCACAGTCACTGAAACTAATTCTACACCTACACAATTCCCTATGGTATTATTACTTATCAATTATCATAAACTAATTATTAAAAACTTTCAAAATTTCAATTTATAATAAACCCAAGAGTTTTTACATTTCCTAGGGAGAAAAACATCACACGTATGTCTCAGCCATTCGCAGCTGTAGTGATAAGGATGGAGTCTTCTCTGTAATCTTTCTCAAAAAACATACAAAAGAAAGAACATGTCTTATTGCATTATATGTACAACAAGACAACGATATGATTAGAGAGCTGAGGTACATGATGCAGTAACACACAATGGAATCTTCAGATTTTTGACATCTAACCTGTAAATCAGTGATAGGACACTCCACGTGTCGCCACGCGATGTCGCCAGCATAGCTCTCGAACACACATATCATGTTTGGTCGGACGTACGGCGTGCCGTCGGCCGACGTCAAAACGCCGTCCATGTAATACGCATGCCGGGGACAGTCGTTCAGCGGGTCCAGCGACATGGCCTGTAACCCGAACCCGTATTCGCCCGCGTCCATGTAGGTCTTGAAGTACCAGGCGTCAGTGGGGTCCATGTACGGCACGAACAGCTCCGACGTGAATCCTTTGTACATCACCTCCCTTAGCTTCGACGTTTCTGGGTCTCTGAACTTCGCCTGCGATATTACTACCCCTGCTCTCGGGTCGGGTTTCAGGTGGAATTCCCAGTTCGCCCACTTCACGAGGTTGCCGTCGATGGTAAAACTCGGGCCCTTGGGTTGCTCCAAGGATATCGGGTTTAACAGGTCCAACTTACCTCTCAGCTTCTGAACGGAGTAACGATAATCCGTGTCGATTCCGTTAGGAATCGGGATGTTGCGTCCCTTGTCGGAGATGGAGACGACTTCTTGTTTATCCATATCGACCAGCACGGTGAGTCCTTCGATGGGTCTCATGTAGAAGTTGGCAGTGCCCTCCGACGAATAGCACTGAACCTTGATCAGCCTCAAGTTCTGCTCCTCTTTTATCTTCCCATACCACCCCGACGACACCGGCAAGCACGCCACGTCGGCCATCTTAACGCCACGCGCCGTGATCGTACGGTTGAACTCGAAGCTCTTCAGTGGCGCGTATGTTGCTCCCACCATGTCCTCCACAGTCATAGTTGGGTACCCGGAAACTGGATCTACTTCATGTCTTGTAACCTGTTGGGTGGAGAGGTCAACGGTGAGGAGAACAGTGGAGGCGCCGTTGACGCGGGCAATGACGGAGGCTTTTCTGGGGAAGAGAGGGTCGCCGGGTTTCCATTGCTTGACGAGCTTCTTGGGGGGTTCTTCAAGAGTTATTGAGTTGAAAATATAAGAGGAGGATTTGAGGAGGGGGTAGCGGGAGAGGATGGATCGGACTTGGTTGAATTCATGGATGGTTAGGGGGTCGAGAGGGTGGCGGGGAGTGTCGTTGTGGTGGTCGCGGCGGCGCGTGGGGGAAGGATTTTTCTTGATGAAGGTGGGGAGTTTGGAGCGGAAGAAGCGGGAGTAGTGGGAGGAGCAACTGTCAGAGGAGAGGTTGCAGTCAAGAAGTTGGGTGTCAGAGAGAGAGGGGAAGTGAAGCCAAGTGACGAGCAGAGCTAAGGCTCCGGAGAAGAAGAGGAAGAAGAAGCGCAGGAAGTTTCTGTGTTCCATGGAAATATGGCTCCCTGGTTCTTCAATGGTGCGCCGGCTCCTTCTTATATAGTCAAAACGAAAGCGAACGAACCCACTTGTGTGAGCTGAGGAGTGAGGGGTGGGGAAGGAAGGTGACGTAAACATTAACCATTAATTAAAAAATATTCATGAAAATTCGAAGGAAATGGACTAGTAATAAAACAAAACAAGAAGAGACTAAATTTAAAAAATATTAAATATTCTTTATTTTATTAGATTAATAAAAAAATTAATAGCAAGTAGTATTTCACTATTTCTACACTCCATTTGTGTTTCCTTTTCCCCCTTAATTAAGAGAGCACGTCGTCTAAATTGAATAATTTATTTATTATTTTTTAATTTCTCGATATGAGTATAACTTGTCGGGCTTTCCATTAATATATTCTCAACAATATTGTATGTAATAAATGGTTTTATAAATTAATTTGAATTATCTCCCACGGAGTGTCAAAAAATCAACGATAAACATAATATCAGAGCAGAAGACATTATCACATTGAAAAGATTATCGAATTTAAATTATTATGCCTTGGAGCAAGATCTGTTATTGGGCCTTGTTAAGTGCATCTCCAGTTACCTAGGTTAGGTCGATAGGAAGAATCTTATATTTAAGGCGAAAGAGAATATAATATATTTTTATTTTTTTTCTCTCCTTGTGTTTGAAAAGTTGACGTGAGTTAAATACGGAGAGTTCACTGAAATTAAGACATACTTATAGATTACAGATCATGCATGAAGAAGTTTTCAGTTTTTCACATTCACAGTGAGATTTATATTTTTAATTTTTTAAGGTGACATGCGTGTATCAATATTCACTTAATATATATTATGATACAAAGTTCATAATAAATATTATTTTTTTAGGAAAATCATATTGAAGGTATACATATTTTCTTTCAATTTTTTAATTTGGTGTCTATATATTATTTTACTCTTAATTAAATTATTTAATTTTACTTTTTTTAGCAATATTAATTCTTGTAATTTTGTTCCATTAACATTTTTAGTCTCTACACAAGGGTTAAGAATGTTAACAAAACAAAATTAAAGATTTAATTAGGATATCAAATTAAAAATTGAAAAAAAATATAGATACCTATAAAGTGATTTTTTCTATTTTTTTTTACAATATTCGGATATTTTTTTTACTCTTATCATAATTTTGAGTTGCTTGGATTTCTTCAACTGTCTATTCCTTGTGATGGGAATTGCCAGAGATAGGGATCCCTCACTTTATTGTCGGACTACATCTCTCATGCAAGACTAGGAAAGAGACGTCATCGTTTTGAAATATCCTTACAGTTACAGCTCATTTTACCTCCAAATGTGGTTTTCTTTTCTTTTCTTTCTTTTTTAAAAAATAAACAATCCAAATTATTGCTGGAAAAAAGCAACTTAAATTATTATGAAGATACAGATAAGGGAGTGTTGGGGAAGAATATAGACACTACAATTTATCGGTTTGATTTGCCGTTTTAGTTGGTGGAACCTAATGTAGGGTAGGAGAATTTCGCACCTTAATCATAATTGGTACCCAAAAGAATTAAAATAGTAAAGACGCTCAAATAAAAAATAACAAAACATATATAATTATTTCCTAATAAAAATATGGCTAAAGTATAGATTTGATTCTTTAATTTTGTACAAGGTTTTAATTTTATCCCTTACCTTTAAAAAACATATATTTAATCCTTTAATTCTAAAATCATTAGGTTTTAATGGTGATTTTTTTACAACAATCATGAGTATTTTAAAAATTAAACTTAATATGTTAGTATTTAAAAATATTTTACTATCATTTAAGATATTAATATCATCATTTTTTATTAAAAAAATTAGGATTAAAAAATCAAAAATATCTTTTTTAAAATTAAGAAACCAAATTAAAACTCTATACAAAGCTATAGAACTAATTGTATCCTCTAGCCTAAAAATATTATACATCTAGATTTATGTACAACTGAAAAAGAGTGTGCATGAGAAGAAGTTCAACACACGATTCTTAAATCAATTTTGTGAATTTTGAATCTTGGGAAAATTGCAAAAATAGCTCAGCCAAATAGAAAAATTACAAATAGAGATCTGTTACAATATTAGTACTGGTTTTAATAATAATAGTATGAGTTTTGATAACAATTTTTGTAAATGGTCTTTATATGCAAATTTTCAATCTCGACAGTCTTTTTTTTTTTTTTTGCGATTTTCTCTTAAATCTTTAAGTATGGGGTCGCCGAAATAGAGATGGTATTACAATAAGCAGTAGTAGCAACAAACAGCTATGTTCTAAAAATAGCTAATGTAGAAGAAAACTATATATTAGTGAAATAAATTATGAAGATACGTTGGCAAAGTGACAAAGAAAAACCACTGATATGCTATGATAATATCACAATGCCGTAAGAAATTGAAAAACTTAAACTCTGGTCACGAGCTTCTTCTCAAACAAGCGCCGCAGAAAGTAGACCTGCAATGCGCTGGCGCCTATTAGTGCTGCTGATTCGAAAATTGCCTTGTGGATCGCTCTTCGGCTCATTGCCTCGTTCACTGCATTTTCCCGTAAAGGAATTGGATTTTGAAGCATGAAGCAGTGTGATTAGCCTTTTTAATTATGAACAGAGAAAACTAAATCTTCATTAATTAATGCCTTACCTATTGCTTGGCGATCAGTCTGAGCCTCTAGCCAGTGCTGTTCAAACTGAATGCTGTATAGAGTTTGATCCAACTTTTCTATCTGCTCCAGCAATGGGTTCAGATGTTCTGCAAACATTTTTGCAAGCTCCATTTAGGACTAGTTACAAGAATGACTTTTATTTAAACTCATTTTTGCAAACTGAAGGTGGGGTAAAAATGAATGGGCGTAATCTGATATATATATATATATATATATATATATATTTCAGTTCAATAATGTTATGTGAAAAACGTCAGTTTGACAGAATCTTCTTTGGATGATTTATTGAAAAATCAGTTTCAGAAGGTTCAAACATGAAGAAAAGCCAAAAAAAACCATAAAAAGTCGCTTCAACTTCAATGAAGGCAAAAAGTTTCACTGGCCCTCAAAATCATACCGAACATGCATTTTTGGCTTCTACTGGCTTTTAAAGGATCTAAAGGTCAGTTTTGGGGTTCCTAATAGAATCCCAAACAAACTATATGAGAACTTAAGAGGGCTTAGTAGTGGAATTGTCTACCGTCTTTTGCGTGTTGCTCGTAGTAAGAGAAGTGATCTTCATGTACATCAAAGTCAATGGTTTCGTGAGCAGGAGACTTGTTGGTGAAGCAGAACTTGTGGACTCCTGAATTGTGAGCGGTAAACTCAAACTTCTCAGCTGTCTTGTCACGGAAATCTTGAATTTGCTCGCCTGAAGGTCCCTTTACCTGAAAGTTCTCACAAAAGAGCAGCAATAAGACTCTAACATGGTGATACAGATAGTATCAGTGAAAAAAATATAAGGAAAAATCACATCAACATCAGTTATTTGTGGTTTGTTCTCAGATAAAAAGCAACTAATGTAGCTTATACCTACAAGCTAAGAGAGTTCCACCCAGCCTAATAACCATAACTTTGGACCTAGAGGTAAGAGCTTGATGCGGTACTTAGTATTAGAGCCAAAAAAGGTTTGAATCTACATTAGTATATACAAATGTTTTCAAGATGCCTAGGGAATGAATGCCAAAATAATATGGAAACTAGGCATTAAGATGGCAATATCATATAGGGATTCCTTGATACAATGCATAATATCTCTGCAAGTCTGCAATCTTATCAAGTTTTGAACTTGAAGGTCCACAAACTGCCCGATCAGTCAAAATTCTGGGCGGTTAATACAAATATTTCCAACAGGGAATTTGAAGCAAGATAAATCATGAATTCTCTTGCAAGTGATTAAGCCTATAATAAATTTCAATCATGTAGAATTGTGAGAGAAACCATGCTTTATAACAAATCACCGAACAATTTGGATGGTCTATAGTCACAAGAGGGACTGCATATAATGAAGTTGGAAAGAAAAAAGGTGAACAACCAATGAGGAATTGCAAGTGATGATGCTTATCATAACGTTTAAGCATTGGGAATTGTAAGAGAAAACATGTCAACTATAAGCCATATGCAGTCAATTTGTCATTGCAAAGAATGGGTATCCTTTTATTTCTACTTGCAGGCAGAGCTATCCTTAATAGTCTAATGTTAAATTGTCTGTAGATTGAAATTTTCAGGACTCCAAGAATACTTTCAGGACAATTCAAATATTGAATTGATGCCATCTAAGAAAAAACCTTTACCCATTAGACCTTCTAAGGAGAGAAATACACGTTATTGGAAAAAAGAGCAGAAGCAGAATACAAACAAAACATACCACAAGATCGACTCCTTCACCGGCGCCGCCGCCAAATCGCCAGAGAGAGTCAGACTTGACAACAACGAAAGAAACATGGACAGTGTCACCTGTATATTTAACATCATGGGAGAAACACTCCTCCCTGTCTATGACAAACCTAATCCCTTCGGACCCTTTAAGATTCAATAACACCCCAACCATCATCAACACCAAAATATGCCCCCAACATCCCAACCGCCACAATTCCATCTGCACAAGTCAAAACCCAAAAAATAAAAAAAAATCAATAGCTTGTTTTGCAGAGACCAAAATATAGAGACAAAAAAAAAAAAAAACCTTGCGTAGGCGATGAGGACGTCAGAACTGAGAAGAACTAAAGGGAGGTTTTGTTTTTAGCTTGTAGAGAGACTAAGGTTGAGCAAGAGAAAGTCGTACGACTTCGGAACTTATCGATCTCACCGAGGAATCGGAGATGAAGTGTTCAAGGGTGTAGTCGTCGTGGAGAGGCGGAACTCTCCTGAGGACTGGTTGGAAGAAACGGCGTCGTTGGTAAAGCAGTTTGGGTTATGTGTCAGCGTATGATTGGAGAAATAGATACGGAGGCCAATAGATGGTTTACAGGTAGGATGCGATTCGTTGTTAAGGTTGTTTTTTTAGGGCCAACTTCGCTGTTGAGAATTTTTGGGCCAACAGTTTTGTTGATTCAGTTTAAAAGTACCCTTCTCGAGTGAAAATTGGAAAATTTACAGCTTTTGCCACAGGACTTCCTCCCTTTTGGTTGGCTGAACACGCTGCGTTATTTTATTTGACATAATTTCCAAATAAAATAAAAAAAGAATAACGATAAGCTAACAATAGAATAAAAAGAATTTAACTCCTTCTGATAAGGTTGAGGTTCAATAATCCCGTAGATAAGGTGATCATATAAAAGAATATAATTTGAGTTTGTAAAAAACTTAACTTTATTTTTACCAACAAATTGTTGGCAAATAAGAAGAACAACATAGGTTTAAATTTTGAGAAACACATTTGTTAAAAAGTTTTAATTTTGAATATTCTTGGCCTGACAAGCATTAGTCTCATGTCTAAAGTGACTTAGGAATATCCTAAATTACACACACAAAAATTTAAATTCATTTTCTCTAATTTATCTGATTAAATTCTTTAATTAAATATTATCCCATGAACTATTTTTACGGATAAAAATTTATATGAATAAATGTTTAAAATTCTATTAGATCATTATCGAAGTAAATGAATCTAAAGTTTTATACTTTTTATTAGATTGTTTTTGCCAACTTTTTTTTTTTAATTAAATAAACAATAACTAGATTGATTGTAGGCTCATACTCATATGATATTGTTCATGCTATAAATAACTAGTTTATATATGTATATTGTATGACATTTTTTTTAAATTTAATAATATTATATACAAATATATGTATGTAGGTACATGTCATTAGTATAATGTTGATGTTAATAATTTGATATCAATATAATATATGAACACAATGATCAATGAATTAATAAAATTTATAATAACTCATATTACCATTTACAAAATAACCAGCTTCGGCCCCAAAAAAAAAAAACAGTTCATATTTCGACCTCATAGCCCACCTAATGATAAGTAAAATGATAACTGCACTCCAATAACTTAAAATAATTTAATTGAATGATAATATAAAATATATAATGTAATTAAAATTTATATGATTATATTTTAAAAATTTTATTCAATACTATATATTATATATCATATAGATACAGGTATTTTAAAAAGATAAAAATGATATCAAATCAAATAATCAAATAATAATATATAAACAAGTATATTTTTCAAATATTTGATTTTAAATTTATGTAACGCATATATTGTATTTTTATTTATATCTTAAATTTTATGAAACTAGAAAAAACGTTAAAATTATAAAATTAAATTGAATAAGAATTGAACGCAAACTTGTCCACAATAGGAGATGTCGTGGCAGCACGCTATTGGTCTGTTCGACGTGTATAATCTCCTTCTCATACGCGTGTTGCATGGATAAATAAAACAAAATTGTGAAACCAAATTCAGAATTCCATCGGGGGGATCCAAAAAATATCCGTTTGCATTCAGATCCTCGATCTGAGCAAAGAGAACAGAGAGAAAGAGAGATCAGGAATGGACGCCATTGATTCCGTCTTCGATCCTCTCAGAGATTTCGCCAAGGACAGCGTTCGACTCGTAAAGCGCTGCCACAAGCCTGATCGCAAAGGTGAATCTCATTCTTACCGATCCTCTGTTTTTTCCCGTCTTTTGATTTTTTTTTTTTGCCTGGGTATTTATTGGAAGCTTTTGATTGTAGAGTTCTCCAAAGTTGCGGTCCGCACAGCGATCGGTTTCGTAGTGATGGGATTTGTGGGCTTCTTTGTGAAGCTGATCTTCATTCCCATCAACAACATTATCGTCGGATCTGGTTAGGTAAAGTTAACTTTTTGCATATTATAGCATCTTTTTTTCCTCTACCGTTTTCGCCTGCATCGTTTTGATTTCCACGAATTATGCGTTAGTCCGTGTGGCCTTTTGATTTTATTTTCCTGCCTAATAAGGAGTTGGTATATGTACTTGTTGGAGCTATGTGCAATTTTCTCCTTCATTTTCTTTTCTATTGGGTGCTGGATGTAGAGGGGAATGATCTGACACTCTGACTATATGACGGTGTTTTAGCTGGAACGATTTGATATTAGGGAATGAATGGGAGGGAAGCAATTGAAAATTTGATGTTTTGTTGCTTCACATGTTTTTCTAATTATTTGGATCCAATCGCTATTCATGTAGCCAAACTTCTACATGTATTCAATATGCTAATTTAAATGAAACTTTTCTTTTACTGTTTTACATTGTGCTCTAGAATTCATAGAGCTTCTTCTTCCTCGAAATCGAGGCCAGTATTTGCTTTTCTTTTGTTCTTTTGGCCGGCTGTTTATAATTTCTTTTTACAAGATTTGAACCTTAACAATTCTCACTGAAAAAAACACGGGTGATAATTGGTGGTTACTGCCCTTTATTTAGATTGATTTCTGTTGGGTGGTAATCATAAATGGCAATTCACAAAATGTAGTCAGTCATTATCTTTAGTAAGACATCAGAGAGTGCAGTTACATGGACAAATGGTCTTGGCATATCTACTCTATTCAATTGCTTATGCCATTAGCTTAGGAGTCCTTCTTTAATGACTAAGGATACAAGAATGTTGAGATCAAAATTTTACCTTAAGGTTGACCACGGGGTTGCAAAGATCAAGGTGCAAGGGGGATTGGGAGATCCTGACTCTGAAAAAATATATATGGGTGGGTTGGTGGGTTTGTGTGTTCATACACATACATACGTAGATACAAATCCAGTTGATGCATAATTTTATCATGTTATATGCCCCATGAAAATGTTACTTGTTCACGCATAATCTTTACTGACGGAATTTTTGTTGAAAGAATTTCTTAAATATGTAGATTCTACTTAATTATTGTATGGGTTTGACTTTTGAAATTGAATACGAATTTAACGTTCTCAGTTAGACTGATTGGTAGATACTGTTGATGCATTGGACCTTAAAAGCGTCATATGGCATGAAGGCCAAGAGAAAAAATATGCGTCCATAGGGAAATGGAAGTAGGACATTTATTTGCTTTGGTGAATGAAAATCTAATGGTTGTTGGTTCTCTCGCAGGATGAGGGGAGTATTGGCACTCAAGAAATGCAGCCAAGTATGCGAAGCAGGAAGAGATCCTTTTCGTTAGTATGATTTAATGTACTTAATTTATGCTGTGTTTCCTTTGTATCATCTCCTCTAATCTTAGGAACTATACGTTCGTTATTTGTAGACCTTGTGAAAATTTATGGAGTTTTGAGAAGGAATTGAGTAGGCATTGCAATTTTGTTTCAAGTCGTTGTTTTATAAATTGATACTCTTGGTTTTCAATTTCAATTTTCATCTTCATTTTGATACTCTGGGTTTCGTTGAGTTATTTCGAGTGTCATTGGATTGGGAGTTTAACCTTATCGTTAGGATTAAATAACTCAAAAAATACTTAATAAAATTAAGGGATCAAACATCAAATCTGTAAAAAAAGGTTAGTATCAAAGCCACACTTTTACCTGTACTTATGGGATGTTTAGATAGAAATAAAACTAATTTTAAAAATAATTTTACAATATACAAAATAAATATATAAAAAAATTTGTTTCGATTTGTGAAAAAATATTTTTGAAGAGCACTTACAACTTACCTTAGCTGTCAAATCAATGTTTAAAAGTTAATTAACAATGTTAACATAAAAGATAGTTTTAGCATCCACTTGTAATTTGTGAAGCGTTTGATTGGAGTATCAAATTTCTAGCTAAAGATTTAAGGGAAAATCCCAAAAAAGTTCTTGGAATAAAGAAATTTTAGGTTGGGTCCTGGAATTTCGGAAATGACAGGATGGGTCAGTGACCCAATGTGTCATTTGTCAAATCAAGAGGAATTGACAACTTTACCCTCTTTTGTATTCATTCACTATAATGATTTAAAGAATCACTATAAGGGTTTAGGTGTTATCTAGATTCGTGTAGTGAATAACTGCTCAATTTTTCATAGTCAGATGTCTTGTTATTAACTACAACTAATTTTGTAATCACTAGAACAATATAAGCATTACCTAAATTTGTGTAGAGAATAACTACTCATTTTTTCATAGTCAGATATTTTATTATTGTCAGGTACCTTATTATTAACTACAACTAATCTTGTAATAACTAGAATAGTGTAAGTGTTACTTAGATTTGTTTAGAGAATAACTACTCACTCTTACTTAGTCAGGGGCAAAATTGTCAATTCGCCTTAATTTTACAAATGACAGATTGGGTCAATGACCCATCCTGTCGTTTTCGAAATTCAAGGACTCAATCAAGAATTTGATATATTCCAAGAGCTTTTTCTGAGATTGTCTCAAGATTTAATTATTTTCTCCTTCATGAATGAAATTGAAGGAACCACTGAGCAATCTGCTAGGTTGATTCTTTTTTGTCTAATGGTTTATACTACTCGCTCTTGTATTCTCCCTAGTCAACGTCGCAGCATTGCGTCTTTTTCACTCTTGCTAGGTCATAATCACACCTTAATATCTTCTATATCGTTAAATTAAATTAAATGGAAGGACTGTTACTCTTGAATGATGAATAATGGAACAAAAATATAATGAATATTACATGTCTTAATCTCCCTACCAGAGAAAAGAATTTACTTTTCCACGAAGATACCAGGCAAAGCCTCAAAAGCTTAGGCGTAGAATAATTTGTAAGAACTGGGTTGATGCAGATAATATTTTCTTTACTGTTTATTTTCATAAAATATTTGGTTTGAATAATGCCTGGAGGTTCAATTCTCTACCCTTCTCCCCACATTTCCCTGCATAAACTCTACACAGATATTTCTACCTACAAAAAACAT